GCGAAAGCTCAGCCCGTTTTCACGTGAAAAGATGGAGGAGGTCTCGTATACTGCATCAATCTCAACGTCGTATAAAAGCCAAACGGCAGCAGTGCAACGGAATTCGACCGTCCTCTTCTGGTGAGATCGGCTCTCGAATTTCTTCTTCATACACTATCATACGAAAGGAAAGTCTCAACAACAATGTTATCTCAGAACATTCATTGAAACCCAATTACTCTTCATATCCACAAAATTCAACTATCCTTTCTTCAATATCTTTAACGTAATAGGATGAACACAGATCTTTTGTGAGTCTATACATAATGATCTCGTTCGGAGGAAATACATTCCGTAATCATATAGGATGAAGATTGGGTGAGACTAAGTTTCCTAGCTGAGATGAGGGCTTGCTTGAATATTCATGTTATGAAGACCTTAATTACGTGGTTGGAAGAGATTCGTATGTTGGACCTATCGGAAATAGAGGGGGGATCTTTCGTTTGTAAGTAGACTTTAGAGACTACCAGTAGATCATATGTATGAGGTGTATTCATCCTACTTTGTTTAAGGTGGTAAGGGACCACTAGTTGAATGATATGACCAAACCTTAACTTTCCATTGAATTTTAAATCACATGTCTCTGATTTAGTGGTAGTCTCGAAATCCCAATTATAAACGAATAACGAATATTGTTGTCGATTGCCGTAGCAAACACAACTTTGTTTCATCGACAACCCCTCCACCGAAAATGATATGGCAAAATACCTGGCCCATATGACCTACGACCCAAGGGCATTCGTGTCTATGTGGCGTAGTTGTTAATGTGTAAGTATTATACGCTGCACCAGTGCCATGGTTTAAGTCCAGGTGGTGAAGTTGATAATACCTAGGCGAGGTCGAAATTGCAGTCCGCTCCAGCCTGAATGAGAATACCTTCAGGAAAAGCAGGGCAATGTGAAACGTAAGATATACTCATATTATTGTCAAAAAATTCAATTACCAGTCCCTCTATCCCCTCAGCAACGTCCTATCAAAAGGCTCATGTAGGCCCAGTTACACGTTGCCTAGGCTAAGTTTCTGTATCACCAACTGTACCACCTTATCACTTTAAACGAAATAGGATTAATACATCTCACATAGAAGGAGGACCTTCTTGAAAGTACTAATAGGGATTTGTACGGATAGTATAAGTATATAGCAATCAAGCTAATAGAATTCGCTATATCACATAGTCTCTCCCTAAAATTTTCAACTGCCCAGTGATACACTAGTACCAATAACAATGTAACCTTTTGGTAAATTATTTCTGACGTTGTAAATTTCACAATAATGGGAAAGATTTCCTTGAAATTTGGGTTTATATATGTACGAAGGAATCCTTGATTTCCTGTTATCCTGATCCGTCCGTGCTGAATTCGCT